ATATCTAGTATATCAGTTATCTTTATTTTTCTGAAGAAATTGGTTTAAATCAACAAGTGATAAGCACAAAGATTAAGATATCTTATAATTAAAAACAAAATTTTAAGAGGAGAATCTAAAGCTTAGAGAAGACCTATTTTACCGTCAAAATAAATATGATTTTTTGTTATATAGTATAGATAATTTATCTCTTAAAAAAATAAATTTATATTATTTGATAAATTTATATTATTTTATTGATAAAGGAAACATATTTTGTATATATTTTATACATCACTTTTTTCTTTTTTAGGCCCCCTGTCCGGACGTGTACCGCGGAAAATATCGCACCACCGATTACGTTGATGAGGACCTCGGTGTTAAATACGCCGAGGACGTAAAACGGATCTGCAAAAATATCAAGGCCGAGGATCGAGGACTTTGCGCCTATATCGCGGAAAGTCTCTTATCAGTCGGCGGACAGATTTTACCGCCACCGAATTACTTCCGAAATGTGTACAGGTAACGGAAAGTTTTATTATTATTTACGTGTAAAAGTCACGGCCATGATTTTCTTCGGGGAGGATTTTTATTTTATTTTTGTTAACACATAAATAGATGTTTTTGCGTTAGTATACTTTGAATATTTTAGAACTTAGAATATTTTTTCGTTTCTGATTTTAAATAAGAAAAATATTAGATTTTGTAAATCATAACTTTAAGTTTTCTTTTTTAATTTCAAAGGGAGGTGTGAACTTTTTCTCTTTGGATATGCTCATGTTAGAAAACGCAGGCGTTTCATGAATTATTTAAATTTAGAATAAATATTTAAAAGTGGCGTTGAAAAAAAAACATGATAAAATAAATCAAATTTATAGGCATGTACGCGAGGCGGGAGGAGTCTGCATCGCGGATGAGGTCCAAGTCGGTTTCGGAAGAATCGGCACTCACATGTGGGCCTTCCAATTGTACGGCGAGGATATTGTACCAGACATAGTCACGCTGGGAAAGCCCATGGGAAATGGTCATCCTGTTGCGGCTGTGATTACAACGCCAGAAATCGCACGCAGCTTTTGCGATACAGGAATCGAGTACTTCAACACGGTTAGTCTGCGAAGTTATTGTCAACGTTAGTGTTTTGGAAACCCGCTAAAAATACCACTATGTAACAAAGGATATTCTGTAATTTTAGTACGGGGGCAATCCCGTGTCCTGCGCAATAGCGAACGCAGTGATGGAGGTCATAGAACGAGAGAGCCTTCAGGAGAACGCTTTGAAGGTCGGTAATCATCTGATTGCGGAACTGAAGAAATTGGCGAAGCGACGGAGGATTATCGGCGACGTGCGCGGCGCTGGACTATTCGTGGGCATCGAATTAGTACGCGATAGAGTTAAAAAAATACCAGCAACGGCGGAGGCAAAGCACGTGGTGTCCAGGATGAAGGACATGAAGATCCTTATCAGTAGCGATGGGCCCGACAACAATGTTCTGAAATTGAAACCGCCAATGGTATTCACGCTCGAAAACGCCAATCATTTTGTATCCGTTCTCGATGAAGTGCTCGAAGAAGTTGATATCGATTTCGATGAGGTAATTTATATTTTTGTTTACTTAGATATGTTAACAATTATTTTTATCAGGAGAAACTACTATTTTTTATTGTAGTAAATTGAATTTGTTTTTAAAGCAAAATATATTTTTAAAGTTTTATATTAAGTATATATATGATTCTTAAACAATAACATGATTAATAATTGTTTTTATAGGAACCGGAAGCGACCACAACTATCATCAAAGCAACTATTTCATCTATAGAAGTTGATAGAAGCACCATAATGAATAGTGAAAATTCACTATTTGTACATGCTAATTAATAATAAATATTGTGTCACAAATATGTGAATATCAAATTTGAGACAATTTTATATGAAAAAAGTATTATTATTTTTAAGAAAACACTTTTTCTTGTTACGACATATTTTTATACGGTTTTATCGAAAATACATGTAAACAAAAATTAGAATTATTTTAGTGAAATAAGACTATTAAATATTAACCTTAATATTAAGACTTTAATCTTAATATTAAGACTTTATAAGTATATTATTAATATACTTATAACTATATTATTAATATATCTTATACGTCAAATTAATAAATTTTTATATAAATCAAGTTGTTCATTAATCTTAACTTTCCCTAATAAAATAAAATTTATATGGAATAATTAATTTACTGACCTATTAATCGATAATTGTCCACTGTTTATTTGATTGACTTTTATTTTAATGCGCACTATTTCTATGCACCTGACTCACAGAACTCATTTTTCTTTTACTGTATTTTTATAAATACTATGAATATTATGAATCTTACTTTTTTCCTCTTTTTATCTACTAAAAAATCACTCTCCATAAATAAATAATTATATGAAAGATAATATTTTGTCAGATAGATAGTATTTCATCTCAAAGTACAAAAAAAATTTTTTTCTGAATAGTAATGGGATAAGTTAATATTATGTATAATATGCCAAAAAAAAATATTAATGAAGAAGTCGCATAAACACATACCAAAATATCAATTGAATATTATATACCAATTGAAATATGTAAAATTTTATGATATTAATCTATATCTAATATATTTTTGCGTTATGTTTTTAATGTTAATGCATATCACTAGATATCAAATCCAATATTGGATACTTAATATTAGAGCCATTGATATCATTTTGATTCTATTAATCGTTTCAATTTTTTTTTTGTATCCTACAATACATATCAAAAACATGTGAATATAATTTTAAATAATACAAATATCAAAAATACAAATATCAAAATAATTCTTTATTAATCGAAAAATGTTTAATTACTTTATTATTATTATTAATTCTTTGCTGAATTCTTCTGAAAAGAATAAAAATCTAAAATATTAATAAAATGTAAATCTTTTGTCGATTTTAATTCTATGTAATTCTACATCTTAAATACATAACAACATACATAACAAATTCTCTTTCTTTAATTCTTT